GGCATGAACCCAGAGCTAACAATATAATGTCTCTCATGACACCTCTCTCCTTTCATGATTCTGATCATACCCCCATTGCTGGATAATAAGCCCTGGGAGGGCAGGAAGTGGGTCCGATCCATGTGTCTCCCCAGATATCTAGGCCAGATTCTGAACCATAGCAGGTGCTAAGCACATGTTAGCTGAATGAATAAATGAATGCTTTCTTTGGTAAAGGAGTGGCAGTGGAAGACATTGTCTAAGGGAGACTTTCAAAGGGAGATAAGAGAAGTAATTTGAAGGGGACTGAGAAGGACTGACCAGAGAGGTAGGAAGGTAAGCAATAGCATTGCAACTGAGATGGAAGCACAAATATCTCAAGAAAGAATTGTCAACAATGTCAAAAGCTACAGAGAAGTCAAGTAGATGAGGAATGACAGAGGACTTTTTTTTTTAAGTTTTGATTTTGTTGTTGTTGAGAATATACATAGCAAAACATACACCAATCCAACATTTTATATATGTACAATTTAGTGACTTGATTACATTCTTCAAGTTGTGCAACCATTTTCACCATCCTTTTCTGAGTTCCTCTCTCATTAACATAAACTCACCACCCCCTAAGGTTCTGATCTAATCTTTTGAGTTACTACTGTCAATTTCACCCCCTACTAGATCAAACTATCCCATACGTGACTCTTAAAAGAGCATAATGCTCAAGGCAGACTTTTTCTTTTTAATTAGGTAAGCTAAACTATTATGTGGTTTTAAGAAGACAGCAGGGAATATTTTTGGTTTAAGGTTTAAAGATTAGCTCAGGACAAAATAGTTTGAGGGGTTTATCAAGTCTCATGGCTCCAGAAATTCTAGATTCCATGAGAATTTGAAATTCTGTTGTGCATTTTCCCCCTTTCGATCAGGATTATTCAATGGAATCGCTGATCAAAATGTTCAGTAATGGTAGCTAGGCACCATCCAGTTCTTGTCTCGTGGCAAAGGAGGCATTTTTCATAGAGGAAATGAGCCACATAGTCCAAATCCTCCTATTCCTGACTCTCTTTCCTCTGTGAAGGAGAATAGAAATCAATTGTTGTGCCTTGGATGGCTGCTTGCAAGCTTTTAAGACTCCAGGCACTATGCAATGAACTAGGAAGTAGAACAGAAGAACTAAATACATTATTAGGCCAATGGACTGGAAGTCCCCATGAAACCATAACCTTAAACCTCCAAACCAAGTAACTAAATCCCACGAGGTATTTGGTTGTACATAAGAAGCCTCAACAGCTACTCCTTTTTGTTGTTGCTATTGTCGTAAATGTAGCTATCACTCAACTTTGGTCAGTTCAATTTTTTACAGGTATACAACTTATTGACAGCAATTACAATAATCAGCTGTGTAACTACAAAAATCAGCTGTGTAACTGTTAATCAATGCAATTTTTGGATCACTGTTAACCCCCCTTCTCTCCTCCCTCTCACCCCTGGTAACCATTAATAAACTTTGGTCTCTGTATATTTGCCTTTTGTTAATTTTGTATATACGTGAGATCATACAGTATTTGTCCTTTTTTAATTGATTTATTTCACTCAGCATAATGTCTTCAAGCTCCATCCATACTGTGGCACGTATCAAGATTTAACTTCTCCTATAGGCTGAGTAGTATTCCATTTTACGTATGGACCACATTTTGTTTATCCATGCATCTGTTGATGGGAATTTAGGTTGTTTCCACCTTTTGGCTATTGAGAATAGTGCTACAATGAACATTGGTGTACAAGTCTCTTTTTGAGTCTCTGCTTTCAATTGTTTTTTTTTTTTAATCTTAGCTATCCTAGTGGGAGTGAAACGGTATGTCATTGTGGTTTTGATTTGCATCTTTCTGATAGCTAATGACACTGAGCGTCTTTTCATGTGTTTGGTGGTCATCTGAATGTCCTCTTCAGTGAAGTGTCTATTCAAGTCCTTTGTCCATTTTACAACTGGGTTATTTGTCTATGACAAAGATCTTGATTTCACAACTGGGAAGCATTTTCCAAGTCCCTCTTTTCCGTACAGCACAGTGTCTCACTTTGCAGGCTGTTGAGGCTGTGCTGAAGATTGAAGATACTTCCTGCCCTCAGGGTGTTGACAGTTCAGCAGGAGTAACCTCATATGCCATTCAGTTCTGTGACTTACTTTATCGTCTTTGGGAGTAAGTGCCTCATGAGCGAGACAGACAGTGAGAAATAGGGACATTTTAAGTAAGAATAATCAGCTAGAAGGAAAACAAACAAACAAACATATATCAATCATCCAGGACTGGGACAAGTTGGAAAGAAGGTACAGAGAAGAGACCCTCTGAATTGTACCACAGAGGGAGATGAGGAGAGTACATTCTGGAGTGATGGTGGGAGAGACAAGAGGAGGAGGAATGAATCGGTATGGTTTGAGGAGCCTCTGGGTCACCTGGAAAAAGACATCCAGCAGGTTTGTCCTTGTCCTGGCTGGAGCATGGGAGAAAGCTCAAGTATGGAGGTGTACATTTGGCAGTGAGGGGGTCATCATGCTTCAAAACACATCTTCTCGTCCATTCTTTTCATCCAGCAGATGAAGAAATTGAGGTAGAGAGAGAAGGGCTGTCCAGTCCATCAACAGCAGATGAAGGTCTGAGGAGCCCAATCCCGGTCCAGTGCCCTTTACAATGCCCCTGGTTGCCCCACTGCCCTTGGCCTACAGGTCCTCAGGGAGACCACAAGAGAGGAAGCTGGAAAGGATGCTTGGCCTGGAAAACGCTGGGTCTTGAGGTAAAAGTGCATTTGGGAGTGGAAGGAGAAAAGGAGCCAGCAAAGGAGAAAGAAGTAACCAGAGAAAACAAATAACTCCAATAAAGAAGCCCCAAACCAAACCCACTGCCTTGGAGTCAATTCCAACCCATAGCAACCCCCACTGGGTTTCCGAGGCTGTAAATCTTTACAGAAGTAGATAGCCCAGTCTTCCTTCCACCTAGCAGCTGATGGGCTTGAACCACTGACTTTTTGGTTAGCAGCCAGATGCCTTATCCACTATGCCACCAGAGCTACTTTAAAGAATTGTGAGAAGAATGGAGTGAATAAGGGTTTGTAAAGGTTGCAGAGAGGTCAAAGTTGAGTTTGGCAGCTAGGGGGTCAGAAGTAATCCTGGAGAGAGTAATTTGAACAGAGAGGTGGAGTAAGAAACCAGACCACAGGGGATTAAAGAGAGTGAGGACAATACTAGGGGTGGGATGGGAGGCAGACAGTATGTACCCCCTCTGGTATTTCTTGGTAATAGGTAGGAGAGACAAAATGGGGTGGAAGGGGTGGGTTTAAAGACTAGAGTTGTGGGAAGGGTTATTGTTTTCTGTTTTCCATACAGAGAACACCTGAGCATGCCTGTGACTGGGAGAAAAGGAGCCAAGGGAGGGGGAGGAAGGTTAAAGATGAGGGAATGGGTAATGTGAGAAGAACAGTGCTAGAGGCCATATAACTTATAAAACAAATTCCTAGAGGTGGCAGAAGAGGAGGGGCAGACATTGGTTAGCCTTGGTAGGAGGAGGGACACGTTACTTCGTGACAAGAGGAAGAGAAGAAAGGTGGTGTGGGGGTGTGGACAGAAGATTTGTCAGATATTGGGAGGGATGTGGCCAGGATGGGGGTGGCTATGTGATCTTTCTATAAATTCCACTTACCAAGAGTTGAAGCCAACTGCTGCAGTGGGGAGGGAGGCTGAGTTGCAGTCACGAGAAGCATAGGAGAGCTGGGAAAGGTGGGGGCCGTAGCCTGTGCATCAGTGATGGATGGAGTGACCTGTCCAGCTGAGTCTGGTCAACACAGACCTACAGTCAGCCCAAAAGACGTTTGAGGCACTCTCTAGCAATTTCTGAAGTGGAGGGAAAGGCTGGTTTGGGGTGGGGAGCTGGCAGGGTAAAAGGTGGTCTGGGGTTCAAGAGATTACTCCACAAACATAGTCCTTCTCCCTATTGGTGTGCTCAGACCTGCTCCCCTCCGATCCCAGCAGTTGTCTGCTGCCCCAACAAAATAGCACAGGTCATAAGCTTTGTCTTTTAATAAAAAATAAACTGTCTGTGACAAGCAATTTTCTGAATTTCAAAACGAAGGGGAAAGGAGGAGAGAGGTCAGGGGGTCAGAGGGTAGAGGAGTGAACAAGGCTCAGATTACAGCTGCCACTCAAACCAAGGTAGAACCAAAAAGCCGAACCCACTGCCATCAAGTCCATTCTGACTCAGGATAGAGTAGAACTGCCCCATAGGGTTTCCAAGGCCATAAATCTTCATGGAAGCAGACTGCCTCATCTTTCTCCCACGGAGCGGCTGGTGGGTTCAAACCGCTGAATTTTTGGTGAGCAGCCAAATGCTTTAACCACTCCGCCACCAGAGCTCCTTCCAAAGCAGGGCAGAAGGGACCAAAATGAAGCAGGAAGGAAGGTGGTCAGGCTTCAGGAAAGAGTTCCCGGGAATCAGCGATGCATGGTTGGTAAAGAGAGTAGCAAGGAACAGCTCCCTGCAGAACCCTAAAGACCCCTGAGAGAGGGGAATGTTGGTGTCCAAAGTGGCAGCTGCTTTCCGAGTGGAGTCTCCAGGAGTGGCGCATTATGGTTGTTCAGATGGTCGGTACTTATTACCACAGAGCCCCGAAACAGCCAAGCTCTTTAGGATCTCCTGAAGCAGTATGTTTCTAGAAGATCCCCAGAATGGCCAGAACTGAAGGATTCTCTCTGGATCTTCCTATCAGCCTGAATCCAGGTCTGGGACAGCTGCTGTTAGAGAGCCTTTGCCCCATGTGCTTGGTAGAAGGGAGTCCCACAGGACTAAGGCCACTGTGTGTGGCCCTGCTGAATCCTATCAGTAGCACAGAGTAGCAAAAGAAACTCCTCTCATGGGGGGAAGAGGAAGGTGGTCTTCTGTGCTACTCCCACCCTAATCAGCGTTGCCTTGCTCCAGTCCCCAGCCAGCATGACCAGGAGCCCTGCCCTACCTAACAGCCCCAGCCTTTGCCCACAGAGTTTATACCACCTCAGTGCCCAGGTGGTGGTTGTCAGCATCCACATCACTGGCAGAGGTCCTGTGTTCCTTGGGGGGTTTGAGGGGCTGCTCCCTGCTTAGTGGGGCCTTCTCCCCGGGAGGCAGAGTCCCACAGCCCTGGACCTTTCCCCGGGCTCGGAGTGCCCCCAGTGGGGAGGCAAGGAGGAAGATGAGGGCTCCTGAAAGCACTAAGGCGAGGAGCACAGTGACTGTGAGGAAGTGGGGCCAGTAGGACCGCTGGGCAGCCAGGGCAGCCCCGCCACCAACCCTGGTCAACGGGGCTTCCACGCGCTCCCGGGGAATGCCCGCGAGCTCAGGGTCCAGTGCCAGGGGCTGGTCCTGGCTGTCCACCCAGTAGGAGACCACGGGGTATGAGAAACCGTGCTCAGTGGCCCAGCACTGGTAGAGGCCCCCCACCCCATCCCGCAGTAGCAGCAAGAGAGAGCCATTGTAGACAGTGGAAGAGGCTTCTGGGACTGGTGCTGTCCCATGACTCCAATGGTAGGAAGCCAGGGCTGAGAGGTGGGGGCAGGGGAGCTCCAGGATGGAGTTGGGGACAGCCAAGACTTCTTTAACTATAGAAAGAAAAGGAGTAAAAAGGTTAAGAAAGGGGAGAAGAAGGAAAGCAGGAGAGTCTCAACCCTACATCTGGACCCCAACTCTTATCTCTATCACTATTGCAATTTCCATTTCAACTCCCAATCTCAACTCTGACTTCCTCTCTATCCCCAGTCTAGACTCCAAATCAACCTCCAGTCCTACTTCACTTCCCCCACCCCATCTAATTCCACTTCTGGCACCAAAACCAACTTCAACTTCAATCTTGATGCCCAGCTTGGCCCCCAGCTTAGAATTCCTGTTGCTCCACCCTACAGCCAGGACCCAAATCCATCCCCACTCAATGTGCTTGTGTCTCAAGCTAGGCAGGTCCTGGGGAGGAAAGGAAGGGAGGAAATTGAGGCAAGAATGCCCACCCCAGCCCCAGAACTCTCCAGTGCCTTTGTGCCTCCCCCAGCCCCATACTCACTGATTTGGGGGCGGCTCTGAGGCTGGTGGCTCCTGCCTATGGGGCCAGTGGCACATGCCCACTTAGGGTTCCCTTGTTCTATGTCCTGCTTCCAGGAGCTCCTGAGGGGGCAGGAAAAGCAAAAGCAAAAAAAAAAAAAAAAAAAAAAAAATCCCCTGAAACAGACAAAAGTGAAAAACAGAGGGAAGAAGGGAGAGAAGTGCAGTGGGTAGCAGGGGATTGGGGAAACGAGGAACCCATCACCACAGGAGGGTGCAATTTTGGAGTGAATGTGGCAAAGCAGCATGAGAAGGATCCTAGCAGGCCATTCAGCCACCATCCAAGACTGGTACTCACAGGACAGGGCTGGACAATAGGCGGCAAGTTTGTGATTCAGGGTCCCAGGCACAATGGGGGTCCTGGGCAAGGACACAGTCCACACAGCTCTCATAGATGCTACAGTTGGCTCGGGGCACCCTCTGGATGCCACCTGAGAAGCCTGCAAACACTGAGCCCTGCAACAGAGATGAAGAGTGTGAGGGTGCCCCAGCCCCACCCAGTAAAGAACTGGCCCAGGTCCCCAAGGCCCTGCCCCACCGGAAAGCCATCTGATGACCAGGTCCCTTCCTACCTGGGTGGGAGCCAGCTGCAGGTTCCGAACAGGTTCAGGGGTAGGGAACAGCTGGATCTCCTCCACCAGATGAGCACTGCTGTCCTTGCTAACCACCGCCTTGTGGAGGGACCCCGTTGCTGTGGGGAGACAAAGAGCTGGGATCATCTCACCTCATCTACAGGCCCCTTTTTTCCCTCTCCCTGCCTCCAGAGGGCCTCCCCAGCTGTCAGAAAGTTCCTTCTGAAGACTAATGTGCACAGATACAAATCAGTCAGATTCTTCCTCTATGCCACCAGATGGAGCTTCCTTGTAAACAGCTTAAAATCCCTTGCTCTTCTGCACTTTCTTTCCAAAGGCCTGACAAAACTCCATCCCTGGTGGAGCCCAACCACCTAGTTTCCCCATGGACGTGGGGCGGTGGGCATTTGAGCATTTCTGTAGAAAACACTTCACCTGTCCCCTACCGCAATCAAGTCTTGACCCAAAGGCACTTCTATGAGGTCTACCCTGACCACTGTGGTGTTTTTTGTTGTTGTTGTTGTTGTTTTTTACTTCTTCCCTGTGTCCTTCTTTCCTATGCATTCCTGCCCGCTGAGCTATCTCCCTGTGCAAATACTGCCCTTCTGATCTCCCATGATTGATCGCTCTAAGGAGTGTATCTACCTGATGTAAATGTTCACCCTATATGGCTGTCTATTATTTGGCTAGAAGCCACAGGAGTGAGTTCAGTTCCAGACCTGAAAGGTAACTAGGGGGTCATAATCTTGGGGTCTCACCAGGCTCTATCAGACCAGTAAACCTGGCCTGACCACCCATTTAAAAGCTCCAATCTTCCTACCTAGCATGACTGATTCCCTCTTATCCTACTCTAATTTTCTCACCTCATAACATATTATATAATTCTCTCATTCGGCACATTTATTGTCTATCTCCTCCCACTCCACAAGGACTGGGATTTTTTTTTTTTTATCAGTTTTGTTCACTACTGTCTACCCAATTACACAGCTGATACTGTTCCTAGAACATTTAACACTAGAAAAAAATAATAACAGTTGCCAACGAGTTGAGTCTGACTCATGGCAACCCCACCATGTATTCAGAGTAAAACTGTGCTCCATAGTTTTCAAGGGTGGGACCTTTTGGAAGCAGATCACCAGGCCTATCTTTGGATGTACCTCTGGGTGGGTTTGAACCGCCAACCTTTCAGTTAGTTTAGAGTCCTTAACCCTTGCACCACCCTCAGATTCCTCCTAGTACATAATGTTGTTGTTGTTGTTGTAGTACATAATACATAATACTTGCTCAGTACATAATGTACTAGTGCCTAGTACATAATGTTGTTGTTGTTGTTGTAGTACATAATACATAATACTTGCTCAGTACATAATGTACTAGTGCCTAGTACATAATGTTGTTGTTGTACATAGTACATAATAGTTGCTCAGTAAGTATGTCCTGAAAGAATGAATGACGCTTCTGGTCATCTCCCTCAGGCAAGCCTTCAATGTGTTTAGCGATCTTCCCACATCTTCCTACTGACTCTCTCTCCCTCTTTCCACAAGACTATCTGAATCTATTCTTCTCTCCCCAGACCTCCCACCCAAGCCCTCACTCCTAGCTTATAACCTTGTGTCTTCCTACTTCACAAGGCATATAAAAACCTTCAGATAAGAGCTCTCTGGGCTTCCTGTCCAAGTTGACACACCCACCGAGTCTCACCTCTCTTCACTCCAGATGCTAGCTCTCTGTCCTCTACCCAAAGCCAGTTCTTCCACCTGGGTCCTGGACTCCTGCCTCCTGTTTCCTCAGCTACTTTACCTGCCAGTTATCCCTTCTTGTCCATCTCTTCACTGTCTCCCTCTCTACTGAATCCTTACCCTCTCCATCTTTGAAAAAAATAATTTGTGCTGGATCCCACACCTCAATCTAGTCAGCACTCATTCCTCTCTTCCGCTTCACCATGAAGCTTCCAGAAGGAGTGATTTCTACACTTGCTGTTCCAAGCTCCACTTCACCCACTCATTCTTCATCCCTCCGACATGGCTTCCCCCTGTATTGCAAGCATCTCTTGCTAAGGTCACCAAAGACCTCTGTGTCTGTCCTCTCCACCAGACGGAAAGCTTGGCTAGGGTAGGAACTGAGCTGCTTTGCTCCCCACTGTATTTTTAGAGCATAGCAAGGTGCCAGGCACATAGTAAGTGCTTAGTAAACATTTGTTAAATGAATGAATGAACTCAAAGTTTCCCTCCTCAGCCTGAGTTGGAGCTTGTTGCTCTAGTCCTCTGAGGGATTTCCTGGAGCTCTTTACTTACCGGTGCCCAGGTACATGACCAGATGGCTATGCCCTTCAAGGTCGTGGGCTGTCTCCACCGCAAGCTGTGTGTACTCCACACCAGACTTCACCAGCAGGGGTTTCCCCACCACCTGCTCATCCATCAGGAAATGATCCTTCATGAAGGTCAAAGCTTTATCGGAGGAGGGGCCCACCGAGCACTAAAGGGAGAAGGAAGCAGGTCAAAACCACTCTCTTCTTTCCTGTAGTTCACCCTTTGCCTCTTGCCTCACTTCCCCCTGCTGCCCTTCTTTGCTCCCCTCCCTCATGCCCTATACCATGCAGTCCTATCTTGGAACGGTAATTAAAAGCTTAGATTCTGGAGCTGCCTATCTCTGAATTCCAGCCTTTGCATGCCACAATTTCCTCAACTGTGAAATGGGATATTAACAATTCCTACCTTATAGGCTTGCTGTGAGGATGAAAGGCACTACTACATAAAGACCAAGTAGAACAGTGCTTGGTATGGAGTACTGCATAAATGATAGTTATTGTTACTTTCACCCTCATCATCGCCCTCATCAAGGGTGCCTGGCAGCCAGCAGGAAGCAGGCTCCTTGCAAGGAGGACCATGTTTTACTCCTATCTGTAGCCCCAGTGCCTAGTACAGGACCTGGCACACAGACAGTGCTCAGCAGATGTCAGTCAGTGCTCAGCAGATGTCTGCTGAGTCAATGGCAGAAAGGGTTGGTATAGCGGGGAGTCTTTCTCATCATGGTTTGCACGAACTTGCTGCGTGACTATGGGAAAGTCCCTTCTCCATTCTGGCCCTCCTTTTTCTCTCCCATAAAATGAGGGGGTTGGCCCAGCTGTTCTCTAAAGGCCCTGCCAGCCCCAGAATGCTGTGGCTCTGAGAAACCTATGTTCTGATCATGAGCAGGATCTTTGTCCTCCGCATCCAAAAGCATGGTCTTAGGGCCAGTCCCTAAGACCTGTCACTTGGAGTTGCATCTTCACATAAGTTACCTCATTCTCTAAGTTTCAACTTCCTCATCTGTAAAGTGAGGTAACAACATCTACATCTCATTTGGATTCTAGAAATGAGCAGACGCACTTACTCTTGCTTCCTCCCAAAGAGGAGGTGTTTTTCAAAAAGACAAAAACCTGTAGCAGAGGAGGCAAAAGCAGCCACGCTTTGGAAATTAGGAAGCAAATAAAGAAATGATAAATGACTTAGCTGAACAAAAAGAAAAGGAAAGGAAAAAGGGGGAATGTTAAACCAGTACTGGGAGAAGTCCTAAATCACCCTAAACTATCAGGCAGAATTGCTTAAAGTGTATAAATTAGTGACCTCAGTTACTTCTGGAAATGAGCTTAAAGTAGGGCCTAAATAAGGAGAATTATTTGAAAGTCTCTTTAAGAAGCAGACCGATCCCCTTCCCAGTTCCACACAGGTGGGCGACTGCCCCTTCCATACCCCAGCCTAAGACTGGAGGTTTAGTCTCTGTAGACGGTAAAACAGAGGGTCTCCAAGGGAACACCATCCTGAAAACAGGGGGATTAAATGCAGGCAGACATAGTACCTGCTGAGATCACCATGTTTGCTCTCCTTCTCCATGACTCTCAGACATGGGAGCCAGGCCATCTCCCTCCAAGTAGAAGACTAGGAGAGTCTACTCTGGGGAAACTGACCAGAGGTTCAAATGCAAAGATCTAAAGATACTGACATTGAGAGTCTCCAACAAAACACCTCAGGCAGATCATACTTAGTGGAGCTATAATGGAACCCACATCACCAAACCATAATGATGGGTGCAGAGTTTCCAAACAGCTTTACGGTCCCCTACTCTTAAATATAAGTAGGCAGTTAAAGATTATCAGACACGTGGGTATGATCACTAACATGAAAGAGACCACAACAAATAGAAAACAAACACACACCTAAGAGGAAACAGAAATGATTCAAAGAGAAGAAAACTTCACAGAAAATTATATTATCTTCAGAGACATAAGAGATTATAACCATGAAACAAGAACAGAATGCTACAAAGAATAGTCCTTACTTCACAAAAAATAGAGCAGCCAGACATTACAGACTTCCTGAAAGACAGCATACTACCATGATAAAATAGCCTTGCCCCCTAAAATGAAACCTGAATCTGGTCAAGCCTCTAGATCCAACTTCTTATCAGTTTATAGGAAATATGTACTAACTACAGAGATTAAATCACCGAAATCCAAACTACAGAAAACTCCATACGACAAATTAATTGCAAGAGAAAAAAGGAAGATGGAAAGGGAACATAAATTAAAAGAGACTCAAGAGACAATAACAATCACATGGTATAGACCTTATTTGGCTTATTTGGGTGTTGAGTCAAATTATATACTATAAATAAATAAATAAATAAACCTCATGGTATTTATGAGATTATTGGAAATTTGAACATTTAATACTAATTTAAAATGTAAAATCATTGTTAAACTTTTCCTTATATTTTGAAGATATATACTAAAATCTTTACGAATGAAATTATATGATGTCCAGAATTTGCTTCAAAATAGTAAGCGTGGGAGTGGGTGGGATAGAGATGAAACAAATCAGATTGACTATGAGTTGAAGCCAGCTGACGGGTACATGGAGGTGCATTATACTATTCTGTCTATACTTTATACATCAGAAATTCTCTATAATAAAACTTTTTTTTAAAATAAAAGGGATACTCGGTTCAAAAATCTTGGAAATTAAATATTTTAGCAGAAATGAAAAAATCTGATGGATTGGAAATAAAATTGAGAAATTCTCCCAGAAAGTAGGACAAAACCAAAAACTTGGAAAATAAGAAAGGATTTAAAAAAAAAAAAAATAGAGGACACCATGTGATCCGCAGCCTATATGACTATGAGACCAGAAGAACTAGATGGTGCCCGGTTGCCACTGTCAACCACTCAGAGGGGGATTTATGGAGGAGACCCTGGATAGAGAGGGAGAATAATGTGGAACAAAACTCAAAAACATTTGGAAAAAAAAAGGGGGGGGACCAGGTCTGCTGGTATGATGGAGCCTGGTAGAATCCCTGAGACTATGGCCACTAGCTGCCCTTCAGGTCTGGAATTGAACCTACACCTTTGGTTTCCAGCCAAGCAAAAGACAGGCATAGGCGTTGAACATTTACCTGAGGTAAATACACTTCTTGGAGAGAACAATCATGGGAGAAAGAAGGGGTGTTTATGCACAGGGAGACAGCTCAGGGGGCAGGGGTGCATGGAGGGATGGACACCGGGAAGAGGTGACTATTGGGAGGAAGTGGGAAGGGAGCTGTTGCATTGTGGTGAATTGTGGTCAATGTCATGAGACAAAGTGTATGTGAACTGCTGTATGGAAAGTGAATTTGCTCTGTAAATTTTCACCCAAATCACCAAAAAAAAAAAAAAAAACAACCTAGAGGACTAGACCAGAAGGTTCAGGAAAAGTGAGAAAACACCCCAATAGACTGAGCTCCATAAAGGAAGGGACATTTGTCCATTTTGTTTACTGTTATAGCTATATCCCCAGTGCTTAGAATAGTGCCTACTACCTCGGAAACCCAAGGAGGAGTCACTATGAATCAAGATGGACTCTATGGCAGGCAGTGAGTTTGATTTTTTTGTTTTTAGCCACTCCCCGGTAGGAAGATTAGGCAATCTACTTCCATAGAAATACCGCCTCGGAAACCCAAGGAGGGGTCACTATGAGTCAGATCCAACTTGACAGCAGTTTTTTTTTTTTTTTAAACTAAATTATCAATTAAATGTGAAAGTGAAATAAAGCCATTCTCAGGTATTCTAGGTCTCAAAAAATCCTATCTACTATGAAAATTTTTCATATCCTTTTCTAGGAATATAGGAGCTCTGGTGGCATAGTAGTTAAACCATTTGGCTGCTAACAGCCCCAAAGGTTAGCAGTCGGAACCCACCAACTGCTTCACAGGAGCAAGATGTGGCAGTCTGCTTCCGTAAACCCTTCCATAGCCTTGAAAATGCTATGAGGCAGTTCTCAAAAAAAAAAAAAAGTCACTGCCATCTAGCCGATTCCAATTCATAGCGGCCCCCATTGGGTTTCTGAGGTGGTGGGTTTGAATCACTAACCTTCTGGTTAGCAGGCAAATGCCTTATGCACTGTGCCATTGGAGCTACTTTAGGGAACAGTTCTACTCTGTCCTAAAGGGTCACTATGAGTCAGAATTTATTTGATGGCAGTGGGTCTGGTTTGCTTTGGGTTACTCCAAACCAAAAACAAACTCATGCCGTTGAGTTGGATCCAACTCATAGCGACCCCTCCTAGGGTTTCTGAGGCACTATCACTACGGGGTTACTAGGACTCTATGAAAGATATTCTCTACTAAAAATGAGGTAGTAAAAAACAAAAATAAATAAGCAAATTAAAAAAAAAAGAAGAAGAAGAGGAGGCATATTATGTCAGAAACATAAGATCTATCACAAGAGAGAGGCAAAGGGAATCCCCAGGATGATGAAAAGGGAGATTCCAGGGTGGCAGCTGTGCCCTGGACGTAGAGTACCTCCAGTCTAGACTGCAGCAGGTCTGAAAGCTCTCTAGGAAGATGAAACTGTTGGACTGATGACCTGATGAGGCTGTCTTCAGAAGCTTTTGAGATAATTGAGAAAGATCATGGGGTTGAATAGGACCATTGGTGGTGCAGTGGTTAAAGTGCTTGGCTGGTAACCAAAAGGTAGGAAGTCTCAACCCACCAGCTGCTCCACAAGAGAAAGATGTGGTAGTTTGCTTCTGTAAGAGACTGTTATGTGCCGTCGAGTCAGACCTGACTCATAGTGACCCCTCCTTGGGTTTCACAGATAGTAGATTGCCCAACCTTCCTTCCGAGGAGTGGCTGGTGGGTTTCAACTGCCAGCCTTCTGGTTAGTAGTCAAGTGCCTTAGGTACTACGCTACCAGAGCTCCCCTGTAAAAGATTACAGCCTTTGAAACACTATGAGGCAATTCTACTCTGTCCTATGGCTCACTATGAGTCAGAATCACTGATAGCAATGGGTTTGGTTTGGTTTGAATGGGGTTGAATTAGAGATAAGAGTTTAGAAAACAAAGCAAACCAAAAAGTCAAGATAATTACTAACGCCAGGCAAGGAAAACAAAAAATTATACAAAAGGTAAAGTAATCAAGGTCTACCACCTGGCTTCACCATGAATAAGGATAATATTGTAAATATGGATCTAACAAATTATTATAAAACTATGTTGGGAGGTTGAGGGTGGGTGCAGTGCTATGTTATAAGCTAGCTTTCTTGGGGTGGCAGGGGGAAAGCCCTGATTTATAATGTAGATACTCCCACCTTAGCTGATTTTTTTTTTTTTATTTTACTTCCTTTTAAAAAAAAAAAAAAAAAGGCCTGTTTTTTTTTTTTTTTTTTTTGGGAATTGGGTGAAAATTTACAGAGCAAATTCACTTTCCATACAGCAGTTCACTTACACTTTGTCTCATGAGCACCTTAGCTGATTTCAAGGTCCAATGTAATGTCACTGAACATGAAATGTTGAATTTGGAAAGAGATGCAAGCCAGTTCCATCACAACACTAAGTGGTCAGAAGACAGCTAAATCTTACCTTCCATAATGGGAATTCAATACAAACTGCCTGAAACATCAAATAGTAGCAACACAAGTAGTTTTAGACAAGGACAGGGCATGGGGCTGTTTTTGTAATCAATCCTGTACATCTATTTAATTCTCTTATGTACATATAATATCTAGGAGCTCCGGTAGCATAGTGCCTAAGGCACTTGACTGCTAACCAGAAGGCTGGCGGTTCAAACCCACCAGCCACTCCTCGGAAGGAAGGTTGGGCGTTCCTACTTCCGTAGTGATACTGCCTCGGAAACCCAAGGAGGGGTCACTATGAGTTGGGGCCGACTCGATGGCAAATAACAACAACAACAACATATAATATCTGATTTTTTAAAAAATGGAATGCAGCCAGCTACCTGGAAAGAGCAAGTAGTTGGACCTGTGGGCTCGGAACCATGGTCACAAGAGACATCAAGCTCAACTGGCATAACATACTAAACAAAAACATTGTTCCACATCCCACTTTGGCAAGTAGTGACTGGGATCTTAAAAGCTTGCAAGCAGCCATCATGAGATAATGTGTGTGTGAACTGCTGTATAGAAAGTGAATTTGCTCTGTAAACTTTCACCCAAATCACAATTAGAAAAGAAAAAATGGAATGCAAGTGAACATGCCCAACACCATGCTTGACATACAGCCAATGATCCTTGTTTCCTCAGTGATATACTCAGGTATTTGGTATGTGCTATGTGGTGCAGTGAATTACTCAACATAGCTCTTCTAGCCACGGTCTTTGTGACTCCCACCAGATGACTGGGTGGCACTATGCAAAAGTAAGGTGCTTGTGGCCCACCAAGGTGATCTGATAGCTTGCTAATAATGTAAATAAGGTACATGGTACCCTTGTGGGGGGTGAGACTGTGCAAGTAAGGGGTATGGAACCCTAACATGGGGATTGGTTAGTTTTGCAATCTCACTAGGCTTAAAATGAGCCCTCCCAGAGGCAGAAAGGGAGAATCTCACTACCATCAAGACAGAGAAAAGCTGTGAGTGGAGTTCGTCCTCGGACCTGAGATCCCTGCACTGAGACAGCAGAGAGACGGTGGCAGCAGAGGCAAAAGAACCAAGAGACCGACATGAGACAGGGAAGAGAGCTTACTGGCCACAGAGCAAGAAAACCGAGTGCCTTCAGGCAGAAGACTTGCTGGTAGAGTGGGGTGCCTCTCTGGGCACCTATTCAGCAAAGCTGAAAGAGCTCAGTAACACTGGTCTGAGCAGGGCAGGGGCTGAGGCCAGAGAGAAATGTGCCTGCAGCACAGCTGAGAAGCAGCTATTCTGATAGAAGAACTGTATCCTGAGTTGTTTTCTTATCCTAAATTGTAACCTGTTACTTCCCTAATGAACCCCATAATCGTGACTATTGTGTGTGAGTTCTGTGTGGCCACTTACCAAACCCAGCAGAAAAGTAGAGAGTGCTGTAAGAGGGATGGTTGGTGTGATAACTGGCAGAAAGACTGGAAGGTGGAGGCATGTCTGACCTCTACCTTATAGGAATCCCCCTTGGGCCATTGTTCTGGATCCTCCTTCCCCTTGTAAAGTTAGAGGAGATCAGAGGATGCTGCCACCACGCTGTTTTTGCAGTATGCAACTTAGCCTGGGGAGAGGAGATGTCCCTGGCAGCTGTTGGGCACCTGTGGAATATGGGCAGCTGGACAGACATGCCCGATGGGGTGGGGAGCACTACATTTATTGAGCATTTACTATACCATGATAGGTACTTTTACATATGTATATATCTGGGCTTTGCTCAGCGTAGGGGTGGTACTCACGCTGCCTGGCCGGGGGTTGGTCTCAAAGCCCATGTAAGTGATCCAGCGTGAAGTTTCTTTGTTCAGCTCCTTGTATTTCCCTTCAAAGACACGCTCAATATCCGTGAGAGAAAAGGCACAGATAGCAGAGCTCTTGGTTCCACCAATCTGCCTGGGGATAGCCAGAGGGGACATTGTCTGTGGTCTCTTCTACCACACGAAGGACACTCCAGCCCCAACCCACCCTCAGTGAGAAACCACAGGAAGGCAGAAATGTGGTAGACTGGGCCAACCTCCAGCTTCTCCCACCCCCTGCTGTGGTTATAAGAGCTAGAGAGCCACTTTGGAGTTCCCTGACTCTGGCCCTGGCTTTAGGCCCATTTTAGGATCTAAAATACGATCATCTGTAATGAGAATTCACTGGAGTTCAAGCCCTAGGGTAGCTCCTGCCTGTCCTGCCCAGGCTGGGCTGCACATGTGGGAAAGGCAGTATAAACAGCTATAGGCTGGTTCCAGATGAAGCCCTCCTTCTTTGGTCCCCATAGACTCCTGGTCCTCAGAGAACGGACCCATGACTACTGGACTGTTTTTATTCCTTCAGCACTGGTTTGCAGAAACAGAATATCTGTCTCTGACTCTTTGACCCAACTGTGACACATACCAGCTTTTCTGTTCTGGATGCATTGAGTACCTACTTACACCTTTGGTACCAGTGATATCCTCAACAAGGACCTAAACACTGTGGGGCCAGAGCCCAGCTGTGGGATTTTGGCAAATCAGTTCCCTTTTCTCAACCTGCAAGCAATGGCTTCATTTTTATTTTATGAGACTGATGATGTTTCCATCTTTGCCCTGGCCATAAGGAAAACCAAACCAAACTCAATGCCATGGAGTCGGATCCACTCATAGCGACCCCTCCTTGGTTTTCTGAGGTGGTATCACTACAGAAGTAGATTGCCCAGTCTTCCTTCTGAGAAGTGACTGGTGGGTTTGAACCGCCAGTCTTCTGGTTAGCAAATACCTTAAGTAATACACCACCACAGCTCCTGGCCATAAGGAAGCTTAGAGCTAAACTTGTGGTCAGCATCCAGGGACTGTATAACGCCTTACAGCAAGCATTTGTAATGTGCTCACCCTACCCTTGGCTTCTCTTATGCTACCATTATCCCCATTTCTTTATCTATAAAATTTTATTTAATATTAGACTTTTGTAAGCTGCCTCCTTTTTCAAATGGGCAGGATATAAATGATAAATTAGTAAGAACCTCTCTGAGCTTCATTTTTCTCATCTACTCATGAAAAGGATGAGTGAAATTCCTGGGAGGTGGTGACGATCAAATACCTCCCCTTGTAAAAAGCGGAATAATTGTTCAGCTCATGTCAGTTCCTGCTTCGCTAAGCGAGTCAGGGCAGTACTGTAGCTAACCCCAGATCTCTGGTCCAGCCTCCAAGCTTCTGCCTGGCTGCTCACCACTGGGAGGTGAAGACTGCGTAGATGGAAACTGTGGAGGAATTGGCAGGCCCCAGGACTGCGTGGCGGATGATATTGAACGGCAGCTGCCCAGGCTGGGCGCAGAGCAGCTGGGCTTTCAGGAAGGTGGTCCACTTCTTCTGCAACAGCTTCTCACCACCCACATCGTTCTGGAGGCACCAGCAGAGTCAAGAAGAGCCCGGGGTCCCGCCCCACCCCCTTCGTCTCTTCCGCCCCCCTTGGGCCCTAAGAGCTCAGTCCCGCTTCTGACAGCCCCCTATTGGCTCCCTCACAACCAGCCCCGCCTCCGGCCCCCAGCCGCTGACCTTGCAGACTCGGGCCACGCGGGACGTGTGGAGCTTCTCGAAGAAGTCATATTCACTGGCTGTCTCCTCGAAGAAGAAGTAGACGAACTGGGTCGAAGGAATGGCTGCCACGAAGGAGGCATCCGCTGCGGGGGAAGGGCAAGAGGAGCTTAGAGACTGAGCACATGGCTGCCTTGAGTTCTCTTTGGTGAAAACCCTTGAGCTGGCCCTGGAGACCAAGAAATAGGATGCCTCGGCTCCCACGGCTGCTGGTCAGGGTGGGGTTGGGGGACGGCTGAAAATTCTTTTATTTAGGTAAGATGGAAGCTTCATGCGGGTGGGGAGCTTTGTTTTCTTCACTGCTGCCAGCACCTAACTAATTCCTTACACATAGTAAGTCCTCAACAAAGAAAGTAGAATGAATTAAGAAATTCACATTATCAGGGCTCGGGAAGGAGGGCTGAACCTGTGCTGTGTGTGGGTCAGGTTCTTACGCTCCAGCCAACTGAGGAAGTTGTCGGTCTTGAGGACGGGATGGCCCAGTGTGCGTATCAGGATGGGCTCACTGCCCAGGAAGTTGTTCATGGTGCCAGAATACAGCTTCCCATCTGAGGAAGTTAAGGAGAAACTTATCATGTACAAGGCTTCCCTGTTGGTCTCTGACCTGCCTCTGACTGGGGCCAGCATCCACATCAGTCTCTAGCGCCCTTCATTCTCTCCACACTTTCCTGAGCCCCAACCAATGCCCAGCTCACACACCCTACTGAGCATCATTTTCCAGCCTTTCTCTGGCTACTTCCTTATACATCAGTTGAACCACTTGTCAAATAGAATCATTCTTCCCCAAAAGTGACTGTCTTTTCTGCTTCCACACCTTAAGTCCTACTTTTCTGGAACACTATCCCTGCCCTCTACCTACCTGTCCTTCAATTTCCCACTTAAAAGTCAAAGACTACCTCTTCCAGAAAGCCAGGGTGGGAAGCATGTAATGGTTTGTATCTGAGAGAACACACACACACACACAAAAAAAAAACCTCAAAACAAGCTCACTGCCGTTGAGTCAATTCCAACTCATAGCGACCCCTCCTTGGGTTTCCAAGGTGGTATCTCTATGAAGGGAGCTCTGGTAGCGTAGTGGCTAAGGCACTTGACTGCTAACCAGAAGGCTGGCGGTTCAAACCCACCAGCCACTCCTCGGAAGGCAGGTTGGGCAATCCTACTTCCGTAGTGATACTGCCTCGGAAACCCAAGCAGGGGTCGCTATGAGTCAGGGCTGACTTGACGGCACATAACAACAACAATCTCTATGAAAGTAGACTGCTCAGTCTTCCTTCCGAGGAGTGGCTGGTGGGTTTGAACAACCAGCTTTCTGGTTATCAGTCTTTGTCTTTATAATTCCTACAATTCCTAGCATGATGCCTGGTACACCAGAAGTTCTCACACGTGTGTATTTGTTGAACAAATGATTGAATCTCAGACTCTTCTCTGCCTGAGAACCTTCCTGGACCCTTCTACCTCTTTGTCTCTCTCCCCATCCATCTCTTTCCACCTCCTTTGTGGAAGTTCCAGCAGGAGCTGGTGGTTGGGGTGCCTGATTCTCCCTCTTATCTTGTGCTCTGAGGCTCCTGGCTTTCCCTCCTTCTGTCCCCTGCCCTTCAGGAAACTGTCAGATACCTTATTTCACAGAGTGACCCAGGAAAGCAGATGTTGGGATAGTCCATGAAACCTGATACTTACCCACCAAGACAGCTGTGTGCTTGTGGACTGGGTTAAAGGGGCTTTGGCCTTTCCCCTCTATGACACTATCCTCCAAGATGGGCATCAGGTTGGAATCTTTGAGTTCCTAGAGGGGGGGAGAAGCTGGGGGGCCAGAACGCCAGGGTCTCATGTCTGGGAAATCAGGGGTATGAGGCGGGGGAGGGAAAGGGACATACATAGAGGGGAACTGGTCTGGAGCCAGGAAGCACAGGAAGATCTTGTGTTTGGAAGACCAGAGTTTTCCAGAGCTACAGAGGAAGGGCTGAGGGTAGAAGTAAGGAGGGAGGCTTAGGGGCCTGAAAGCCAGGTGCCAGATAACTCACAATGAAGGTACACGCAGGGCTGAAGGCGAAGGTGCCGCAGGCATAGAGATGGGTGGCATTGAAAGAGACCAGGACACGGATGAAGTTGAAACACTGTGTCTGGAGGAGATGAAGAAGTCAGAGCCAGTTGCTACTTGCCCCAGAATCTGCCCCCTCACTTTCTAGTGGGGAGAAGGGCTGGTCAATGCTGGAGTAATCCCTGTATGTCTTTATGGAACATAATCAAGGCAGATAATCATGCATGCAAGCACTCTCCACTGTGTGCCCCACCCAAGGTCATCTCATTGATGGCCTGGACCCCAGGGTTCCCCACTCAGAGCTCTAGTACTTATCTCATCCACTTACCTCATTGCTCTTCCTCTTAAAGGCACATTCAGTCTTTTTCTTTTCACTGGCTGGCCAGGGTATCTGAAGCAGAAAGTTAGGAGGAGGAGATGAAGGGAAATGAGATCTTTAGCTCTAGCTCTGGTTTTCCATCCCCTCCCTGGCTCTGGTGTGAAATCACCAGCAGGTATTGTAGTTAGTGACATGGTGATGGGCTGTAATAAAATCAATTTGTGACCATGGCTATTACTTTCAGGATACTGACATTCGTTAGAACATAGCCCCATGGTAGAACATGGCCTCTGGAATCACAGACCTAAGTAAATCTAGGCTCAGCTTAACTTACTGCTTAAGTGATCTTGGTCAAGTTCACAGTTTGCTGGAGGACACAAGTAGGTGGCACATGTTAAGCACCTAATGAAGTGCACGGTAAACACAGCAGCAATTGTCGACTCACACATATCCTGGGGAAATTACTGAAAGTGTCAGTTCTTGGGTCACATCTCAGAGAATGTGCATTTTTTACCAGTACTCAGGATGGTTCTACTCAAGTCATCCACAAACCACAAACCACACACTGACAAATACAAACTATGGAGATCATTGATCATTGTTAGCACTGCCTCCCTCTTTTCCTTCTTTCTTCTTCTCTCCCTCATCTTGTTCCTATTAGTAGAATAACTATAACACAGAAGCTTCAGTGATTTCTATCAGTGGGTGAACAGCAAATTATTGATACAGTTTGAGTCAGTGTTTATTTTATATGTCAATGGTTTCCATATCGGCCATTTTGGCAATGAAGATGATTCAATCAGTCGCCCTGATGCCAATGAGTACCATCATAGCATTTCTTGTCCATTATGTGGGTAGCAACTGGGCAGTTATTCATGCATATGCAGCCCAGTCCCAGGGCAGCTGCTGGCCCCCTCCTCACTCCCAGCCCCTGCCCTTTATCCCTGGCCTCCTCACCCTGTTGTGAAGCCTTGGGACCCCTGGATCTTGGATATTCAAGGCCAGAATGGCCTCTCGAGCCCCCACATAAAGAGTATTTCCATCATCACTCAGGAGCAGAATGTCAAAATCCTGGAGGTCCTTCTGCTGGAAGAGGCTAAGTACCCTGCGTCCGTCCCCTGTTGAGAGGTGGTGAGAAGGAGTGAGTGATGAGGAGTAGGGGGCAGATCCTGGAGATGGAAGTGAGGGGAGGGGTAGGTTGGCAATGTGTTCCCCAGGCCTTGGCAACTGGACCCACTCTTCTCCACCAGCAGCTCCCCCTCCGCCCTGCCCTGCTGGCAGCCACAGGAGCTTTGTGTGTGGAGCCCACAGCAGAGAGGAGAGGCAGCCAAAGACAGGGAAATGACAGCCTGGGGCTAGGGAAGGGTGGCCAGCACCCAGGAGACAGACAAAGGAACAGGCAACAGAGGGAGACACAGGGGATGGTCTTCTAGGCCTGGAGGCTGTGGTGGGGGAGGGACACCTTGTCACCACTAGCACAGCACTATGTGTCAGAGTAGCTTTGGGGTTTAGGGGCTCCTCTCATCACCACCCACTTCCTGCCTCTTCACTATTATAGGAAATTTCCACCACTCGAATCACTTAGGCTGCAGAAAGGAAGCATTTTCTTCAGTGGTCCCTATAAGCATTTCTGGGTGTCACCTGGGCAGGGGAGGTGGATCACCTAGGCCATATTCATTATCTTGATGTGGTGGCGATAGCTGGCGGCAGTGGCAGCAGGGGTGAGGGGTGTGTGTGTATGTGTGTGTGTGTGAGAGAAAGAGTGTGTGTGTATGCATTCCTGTCCCACCCATCAGCAAAGGGGAAGGAGTTCCTCAGATCCGCTCTCATTAGCACTTTGCACTTTTGCATTAGTTAGTGACCTGACTAGATAATTGTTTCTTTCCGGGGCTCAGGGAATTTTAGGACCAAGAGGAGGAATTGGGGAATAATGTGGCATGGTGCTGGAGGGGCTAGCCTCAGAGAAGGATGTCTGCTGGAGAAGGCCAGGTGTCCCCCAGAATTGTACAAACTTCTCAGTTACTGCACTAATCACCATGTAGCATGGCTGTCTGCTCACTGCCTCTTCCTCTGGAATGTGAGCATCTTGAGGGCAGGGGCTGAGTCTGGTCTATGTTTGTGTCTCAGCCCCCAACATGGAGGAAGCTCTCTCCATCAATGGGCAATGTACATTTCCTTCACCAGGTTACCTTAGAAAGTTGCTAAAGACACTGCCATGTTTGGAGACCCTGTCCCTATAGCTCTGACAAGATCCATGTCCTTTTTGGAATCTTCTCCCGGAGCTGAGAGGGGCAGCAGCCCCACAGCCTCTGTCGGAGACCAGCCAAGCTGTGCCTACAGGGCTCCAGGGCCCTCTCCCCAGCCAGACTGTGCTGGTATTCCTGGTGAGGGGAGATCTGTCCCATGTGTCCATGGTGCTGGAACCTCTCAGCATGATCTCTGGGGTTGGCTTAGGCCTCGAGTGGTCACCAGATCCAGATGATCTCCCTGCATGAGCCTTAGGTTTGGGTCACCCAGGGGTGTGAGAGCAGTTAGGGGGGGTTTGAGGTGCCCAGCTGGTGACCATGACATTTAAAGAAATAAAGAAAATTCACCAACTTTGGAGAATTGGAAGAAGCAGTGCCCCTGGACACCCCGCCCTCTCCCTTCCCTTTCCTCCATCTTTGACCCAAGTGACTTTCACCATCTATTCTTTTCAGTCTGAGTTTCTCCTTCAGGCTGCTCTTTCTCTAGGGCCCTGTTTCTCTCCTGCATATCTCTCTCTGTTTCCCCATGTGCATTTTTCTCCTCTTCTCCTTTTATCTCTCCACCTCTCTTTCTCTCTCTCTCCTTCCTCCATTCTACCCCAGCTCTGTGTTGCCATTCCCACCACACTTCCCTAACATCAGAACTTACCTGCATAGTATCTGACCCTGGGCATGGGCCCCTGCCCACTACCCTCTGTGGTTGTTGGTGGCAGCAGCAGCAGCAGTAGCTGGAAGAGGAAAAGGCCCAGGAGGCTCCAGAGGTCCAGGCTCAAGGCTGGGAGGGCCATGCTCAGTCAGGGCAGTCACCAGCCCACTCTGGGCAAACAGGCACTCAGACAATCTCAGAGTGAGCAGGCCTCACCACATCCCCCTAAGGACCAATCAGAAATGCAGAAGTGTGAATGGAGGGGGGAGTCCTAAGGGACTCCTTTGAGAGAGCTCTCAGAGTCCCACTTCCATCACCCTCATGGGCTACAACCTATTGCTTCACTCTCTGGGTAGGAACCCAGCTGTTCCCTATCTTGCCTCTTCTGATCTCCTTTCACCAGTAATCCTGCTCTGCCTTTTTTAAGCTTTTCCCTCAGGGAAGTCCTTCTTATTATCTAACCTTTGTCCTTCTTCCTCTTGTAACCCATAGCCCAAACACTATTGCTGGGCCCCAGGGAGGAGATTTCTGGAGATCCTATTTCTGTACTCAAAGCACACATTCCTCAGACCTTACTTACTATTCTGCCACTTTCAGATCTGTTGATACCCTGTGCTCAGGCTCACCCCTACCCTCTGATGACCCAGGTAGACACACTACTTGGTCTGAGTCTGCCTGCTCTGACCACTCCTCCAGCCACAGCTGGGCTTGGGAGTCTCTGACACTCAGGCCTACTTGGCCCTCTTCTTCCAGGGAAGAGACAAGAATCCATCCTGACAGGCTGGCTATCAGCATTATCCAGGTATGGCCCTGAGCAGGAGGCAACTCTCTGTTTCCCTGGGCCTCTGCACAATCTTCCCCTAAGCCCACCAGGCCCAAGCTGGGCATCTCACATACCCTTGAGCCAGCCACAACATGGAACCTAAGTGTCCAGATATTCGGGCAGGGATGCCATCCAAGAGAAGGAAGGAGGGGGTGCCCAGGCTCCAGCAGGCAGAAGATGGAAGGCTCAGCCCGGCTGGGCCGGGAGTGGGGCCCTCCAGGTGCCCATAGTCCAAAGCCAGCACTGAACACTGGGCCAGGGAAACCAGAAATTCCACCTCTCGAGTTATGACAGATTCCTGTCTTGGGCGGAAGTTGGTGGATTGGGAGGGAGGGTAGAAAAAGCGGCTCCACCACCTCAAGGAACACACCTCTTCTCTTTTCCTCCTCCTTGCCTCTGTCCATCCAGAAAGTTTAAAAGGCCCTTCTAGGTCATTTCAGTCATTACCCTGCCTCTCCATCACATCACATCCAGTCTAACCAGTTCAGAGGTGGTTTTTCTACTTGCTCAAGATTTCCTGTTTTTCATATTCCTCTTTCGCTTATTCTGAAGGTGGTGGCTCCCACTTCTACCTACTCCTGGGAAGTCCCTGCAGTGGTCTAACCTTTAAAGCTCCCACTTCTGGCTGGGCCACAGTCTTCAGAAACTAATTTTATCAGGCTTTTAGTCATGGCTTCACTGAGGAAGTCCCTCCTGTAGTCTAATCTCTATCACTTTTAGGAGCATCGGGCCAGTGGAAGGCCCAGGAAATTTCCCATTGAGCTCAGCTTCTGGAACACACTTCAGAAGCACTCAACCCCCAATGGTGGCTGCTCACCCTTCTCCGCTGGCTCCAGGAGGACCTCATAATGCAGGGTTAATGAGGGTCCATAGCCTATAAAATGGGTAGTTTCCTGCTCACTCAGCCCTGGTCAGCTGACTGCAGGCTAAACAGCACAGACATCCCAGGGCTAATGGACTCTAATAAATAACCCACCTCCACCATAAACGCACATTGCTCATGATCAGGAAGCCCCTTCTGCAGTGTAACCTCCATCCCTCCTGCTACAGCGTCAGCCTTCGAGAGTGATGGTACAGGTCATGCTATTCCTCAGAAGTCCTCTTCAGAGCCTGCTCAGCCTTCCTCCCCTCTCCCTCTGCTCCCATTATCCCTTGATTTCCCTGGGGGCTTGGTCTCAGATGGCCCCTCCTAAAGCTGTTTCTGTCCAGACTCACATAAAACTCCCCCAGACCCTCGCGATTGCTGGTTACAGAGATGCCTCTTCTCCTTGGGAGTCTCCCTCCTTGGGAGCCCCTGGGCCAAGCCACCCAAAGAATGAGTTTTCTGGGCCCTCAGAATCAAGGGAAATTCCCATTTACCCAGTCTCCCTAACCACTCAATCAGATCTGGAGCCTCACTGTGTCCTTGGGGCTCTCTTCTACAACAGAGAGTCTTATCTGGGTTGCTGGGAGGAGTTCTGGTGGGGAGGGAGGCAGTTTCAGCCCCACTCTCCCTGCCCAATGCCCTGTTCCTCACTAGAAGTGGCAGACCTAATGCCTGGTCCCCAGTTCTTCCTCCGGACCCAAGAAATCTCCTAGCCCCAGGCCTCCTCTTCCCTACATCCTCCAGCCAATATCAATAGTGTGTACTATCAGGGTAGGCTTTAGTCCTCTCAACAATTTTAGAAGGTAGGTACTACCATAATCCTATTTTAGAGATAAGAAAAGGGAGGCTCCAGGAGGTTGCACAACTAGAAGCCAAATCAAATCCAGAACAGTTTCATTCAAAATAACCCCTTCTTAGCCAGGCCATCTGTGTGGAGTCCTACCCCCTCAGTACTACTTCCTGCCCTAATTCAGGAAACTCAGTTCTGAGCCACTTGTGTGGAGAAGGTGAGTGTGTATGTGTGTGTGTGGTAGGCTCTATTTCCTCTGGACTGAGAAACAATATCTTTGGGGGTGATTCCTAACTTGGAGGGAACAGAAACCTCCTCTCAGGAAAGCCATCAGGGACCATCTTCCTGCCTTGCAAGGACCTCCTGGTCAATTTCCACAGAAGAGTCTGAAGGGGAAAAAGGGCATTACTTGCACCAGAGCCTTTGGAGTCAGACCCAAAGTCTTACTGACATCTCGCTGCAGGTGGCAGAGCCCACAGCCAGGGCCAGCTTCATGGATGTGAGACCTGTGCAGTCAAGCAAGTCCTCAAGCTTAGAAGGGCCATGTGCTTGGTTTAATGCTCTGCTGTTGCTGCCTTGAAAGTCTTAGTAATTTTTGAACAAGGGGCCCCACAGTTTCATTTTACATTGGTCTCCACAAATTATTAGCAGGTCTTGCCCATAGATTCAAGGAGACTCAGAGCTGGCAGGGTCCCACTCTTTTCTTCACTAGACAAATGAGGAAACCAAGGCTGGGGAGGGGAAGTGACTTGGCTAGGTTGGAGTCAAGCAGCAGGTCAGGCGGGGTGGTAGTGGGGGGAAAGGAATCAGATGCCCAAGAGGCTGTAGGGGCTGTGCCATCTTCACCACCCAGATCTGGGGTTTTTCCCACCCCTTTCTCTTTAAGCCCTAGAACCCAACCTAGGGACTCCCCCATGACAACAATGCTGAGTTCATCTCCCAACTCCCAGCCCCCCACCCCCAGCCTCCACCCAGGGTCCAGCTCCTCTAGGGATTTCTCCTTTACAGTCCCTAGACCACATCAAACAGCCCCTTCTTGTCAGGCTTTAGAGCCCCAGTGGAGACCTAGACGTGGGGATGGAGGTGGGAGGGGAAACGAGATGTAGCTCCCCCACCTTACCCCATGCCACCTCTGAGCTTCATCCCCAGGGACTCAGCCTCTTCCCACCCTGTGAAGCACGGAGCGCCGAAGCCTCCCGGAGCCACTCCTGGCTCCGCCAATGAACCAGCAGGTCCAGTTCCCCCAACCCCTTCTCCCAACCTCAGGACAGCCCGAGGAAGAGCACAGTCCCAAAGAACATCTGCTTCCTGGCTCCCTTTGCTTTCCCTCACCTGCCTTCCCCCTTGTCTGCCCTCTTTTATGATCGTAAGCAAGTCAAATCAACTTATATTTATTGAGCGCCTACTGTGCGTAAGGCACTAGGCTTGTCCCCAAGCTTCCACTCCCCCAGTATCCCTCCACGTCTTCCCACCCCCACAATTTCCCAGCCTTCTTGCTAACGGCGCAGCCCAATCTCCCCTAACCCCTTACCCAGAGCCTCTTAAGTCCCCTCCTCCAGTTTGACTAGGGCTGGAAGGCTTAGCTGAGTATCACACACAATGGACCGACCCCCTCAGTCTGCCCCCTCCTCAGGGCAGAGCCAGCGTCAGACAATGGCCCGCCCCCTCCTTTCATAACTGTCTGTCAGCTCTTCCGCTCTTACCTGGAGCTTGGGGATGTCGCCACGTTTCCCTCCCCATGGAATGCCAGGCGTTCCATCTCCCAGTGCCTCTGTCCCTGACACACCCCCACACCCCATCCCCAACCCCATCCCGGCTCACTGGTCCTCAGTCGCCATGGCGACCGCATCTCTAAGTGGGAGGGACTAGAATCTCCCCATATTCTTCCTCCTCCTACCGGTGTCCCCCTGTGCCCCACCTTCTGTAGCTCCTGCATCCACATATGTGAAGAAGGCTGGGATCCAGATTGGGGGGTGTTGTGAAGGAGCACATTACCTCCCCCCTCCCATCCCTGCTCAGCTTCTTTTCCCACCTCAGGCAGGCACCACCCTGAAGATATCCCTCAGCTGAGTTCTAGGGGGTCAGCTGGTACCCTTTATCACCAGTTTCTCTGGTTTTCTCCCTTCCATGAGGACTCTGTATGTATAAAGGGGTCACACCTGGAATCCAGCTCGGCCTCATGCAAATTGAGCTTGCCACCAGGACACAAATAAACATACCTATGTAAATACCTATGTAAATGAGCCAAGGGACAGAGTCTCTGTCAAGAAGCCTTCTTCTATTAATATGATCCTGACTTCCATGGGAAGGAGTCCATTGCTAGGTTCAAGTTCTGCCTTTTCTTTTCATCTTACCACAAAGATAGCTCCCCGTGAAGTCTTCTTTTGCTACCATCTTGTAAGACCTATTAGGAGGGGAAGGTCTGTATATAAGAAGACAGATGGAAGGCAGACTTCAGAAAGGACTTTCTGATGGTCTAAATGGGGACAGAAAGAGAGATAAGACCAGTGGTGTCACGAGGGGTGGTGTCACTTAGTGTGGTAAGTCATGGTGTCACCTCTCTCCCATGGACCTCCTCCCATACCAGGCCATACACAATCCTCGTTGTTATATGCCGTCGAGTCGGACCCAACTCATAGCGACCCCTCCTTGGGTTTCTGAGGCAGTATCACTATGGAAGTAGATTGCCCCATCTTCCTTCTGAGGAGTGGCT